TCGGATATAAAAATATATATAGATAATATTTTTGATAATTTCGTTATTTATATTAATTTAATTTGTTTCGTTTGTGTACTACTTTAACAATTTGTCTTTAACAACTATGGATATTTATTTTATTTTACACTAAATTAATTAAATAATTTATTTTAAAAACCTTATTTATTTAATTAAATATTTTTTTATTTTGTTTATAATATTACATATCGAATATGTAATCTCTTATGATTTTTATAATCTACAATTCTTTTTACTGCTATGTTATATCATTAATATATAACACGTAGTTAGTATAATTAAACAGAAGTTCACCTCTATCTTTAGAATTAGAAAAGAATATATTATCATTGTAAATAGTATTGCAATATGTATTACGTGGAATTTAAAATAATATTGAAGAAATTTTAACTGTGGCAAGTGAATAAAAATATACTAGCAAAGTAATCATCTACAGTGCATGTGTGTGTCAAACTATAGCTTTAAATTAAATAATGTCGTTGATGCCACTTGTCTCTAATCTTGAACATTAGAGCTATCCCGCTATTTCTCATCGCTTTACTCTAACAATATTGAAGTATGTTATAATAATATAATGAAGGAAACTGCTGACATCCCAAATATTGATATAAAATTTACATATACACGAATGTTATGATCGCGCATCGTGATATGAAAACAACATTGTCCTAATTTGAGAATGATATGCATAAATATATTTCGTCGCTTGATGGGAAACTTTGCAAAATGACGTCGATTATGATGGAGATAATAAAGTGTGAAAAATGTGCTTATTATAGGACTAAAAGGAAATAAATCACAGGTACCTGATAGTAAATTACGGCTGATTTATGGATTATTAGGATGTCAATAAACTAGTCTTCTCAAATTAACCTTTTCTCTATTAAAGTTTATGTTTCATAGATAAACGAGACAATTTAATTTTAGAAATAACAAATAAAAATTTAAGTCGTAAAATGTCTTTTCTCATAGTTTTATTCTCATAGTTTTATCATCTAACTTATTCCTTCTCTCACTTTTTTCTAGCACTTATGCAATACTAATTTACGGAAATAGTTTATTATAAAATCGTGTGCGCACTAATCAATAAAAGATAATGCACGATTTTGTGTAATATTCTCGACATTAATCGCACACGATGCGCACTTTGTTATATTATAACAGTAAAATAAAAACTGTGATCAAGAAGTTATGATATTCGAAAATCGCGAATTTACTCTATCTCACATTCTAACACAAGTATATATATATATATATATATATATAGATTAAAATATTAAAAATAAATATCCTCTGAGGACACGATATACGATAACATGTCATGTAACTATTTGCCTGATAGATTTTGATCGAATAAATTATATAAAATACATATTTTAATAAATTATTGATGCAGACACTGAATTTTTGTTATGCATTTGACAGATATCAAAATATGGCTCGTTAGATACAGCTATATTTACTAATTAAATGCGCTGCAATGTCGTTCCATTCCTATCCACAACATTTCCGTTAATGATCAAAAAATTCAGAAATGACTATCAACAATTTCTGATATCGTGTGATATTATATAATTCGATGCCAAGTTAAAACGCGATCGATTGCCAGAAAATATATAATATATAAAATAAATATATAAAATATATAATCGCAATTCTCAATATCATAAGCACATAGTATATATTTCCAACGCATGTATAAATTCTATGAAATATACTATTAATAAACATTGTCGATACCATTTCATTATTTGAATCAAATAATTGTCATCGAAATATTCTTACATCGCTTATAACGGGAATTAATTAATTAATTAATTACGAACTGATAAGCATATTAATTGTAATAAATTATAGGGATGATTGCGTTTGGCATCTTCCAATATTTTTTGCGATTGAAAAAGTAAGTAATATACGCAGAATATCTCACGACGTTATGTTTTCACTCAAGTTTTCTCGTTGCACACAACATTGTACGTATTTTCTCTCAGAATATATAATCGTGACAAATATTAGAAATCGCGCAACACGATTATTTTTTATAATTAATAAAAATTATTAATCTTTCACAATTAACTAACTCGCAATTAACGACTAAGTAAGCGTATCGAAGCGATTTATCAAAGCGATATCTCTTGCGATATTCGATTATTTGAAGTAGCAATTAAAGTGTGGTAAAAAATGCAAATTATAAAATATTATATCGCGACATTAAAATAGCTGATATTTTACATTATTCTTAAATATACTAGTATTTATATATATGTAATATATTTTGCGTCGCGATTCGAATTTTTGGATAATTTAAACGTAAGCAATTAATCATTTTCAGACTCTGTGTGTGAAATATATATTATATAAATATATACATATGTGTATATATATATAATTTTTCTCTATTGGCAATTAATTTAAAATTCAAGAAATATGAGAGAATAATATTTTATTCTATTTTGCAATATTTTGTTATTTCACGATAGCAACTAGCTGTAACATATTCAACATTTATTTTTTGTAACCTATAGTACTTACTATATATTGTAGATATGCAGTGGCCTTATTATCATTCACGTGGTTTGAGCGAAGTAAGAGTCGTTCTGGATCGTAGTATCTTTCTGAACACGATCGCGAAAAGACGCAATGATTCTCTCTATAATTAAAATAATTAGTGATTATCGGTCTATGCGTTAACTTTCGCGATGAACGGCGCATAAAGAGGATCGCGCAGTAATAACTATTTGATTTAAGTACCGAATTAATTCGAGTCACGTGTGATATCAGGCAGTGTCAGGACATTAATAATGATATAATTCATCAATAATTTTCTAATTGAGAAAGTGCATAATAATATGTAGAATTGAGTGATTAACGTAAGAAAAAATTGCTGTACATCATTCTGTTATTACCAATTAATTTGAGATTCAAAAAACATGAATTATATATATATTTCTTTCACAATTCTTAGAATTATTTTAAGATAATCATAACTATGTGCAACACATGTGCAATATGCTATATGTTTTCTGTATCCCATAGAGCGCACTATGTTTTGTGTATACACAGTCACCTTGTTGTCATTGGCACGAAGCTCGAGCAAGGTATGAGCCATTCTATGTGTCGCAGTATCTTTTAGAATGCAATCGCGAAAAGACTTTAAATTCTCTAGAATTAGATTCCTAGAATTAGATTAGATTCCCTACAATTATTAATTCACGCAATAATGACTATTTGATTCAAGTAACGAATTAATTCGATTTGCATGATGTCAGAATAAAATTACCAATATCTTCTTCGTATTTTTCGATCATTAATGAAACTTTGCGGACACAGGACACATCGATTTTGAATCGAGTATTATATTTGATTAATAAATATAGTCGTTATTAATCTTGCAATTTAATTTTTTTATAACTACCTAGAATTCGTTGTACATCATTGTAATTTATCAAAACATTATAATTCATGAGATTTACACTTAATCGAAATTTATCGTAATAGTCGTAAACCTGACAATATTTTCAAATATTACAGTCCGCAGAAATTTATATTTATATTAAATTGTGAATTTTACTACCCAATTCTCGAGTGGATTTGCTGATCGCAGGTTTTGCGTTATATTCTCCTATCGTAATATAACAAACTGTATACGTCGCGTGCTATTAATATCGGGAATATCGTGTGTAAAGAATCAAGCAATCATTGTATTTTGCATTATTTTATAATATCATTAGTATGCGCACGAATATAATTAACCGTATTTTTGCGAGTGAAAGTTATTTAAGTGCTACTAAGGAATAGCAAAGGATAAACTAGAGAGAAGGAGGAGGAGAATGCACATGATAATGGCGCAGCAACTCTGAGGCAAGCAATTTATTTAATTTTGTGATAAATATTTAATATGAACGCTTATTCTCCGATTTTTTTAACTTACATATTTTATAAGTTTCGAGACAACTTGAAGTTGAAAAAAGTTGTGAATCTTGTCTTATAATTTTATAAATTTTTTTTCTATAATTATAATTATATATTATTAAGAAAAAGCAATTGTAGCATTAATAAGATCATAATGCTCTAACAAAAATCAAAGAAAATAAAGATGCTTAATTGTTTTCATGTTTCTATCATCCATCTATTATTGTCGCCTAGTATTTTCACGCAGTTATTTATGAGTTATTTAATTATGCATTTTTCAAGACGAAGTAAAGTTCGTTCTCAGCGAAAGTCAAGGTGAAATGTACATGCGTAAACGCAGTAGGTTTTACCTTTCTGTGGAGGGTTCCTCTTCCGGAAAATATACCTAACTCAAACCTTCTAATTTACAACTAAAATTTGGTTTAAATTAGAAGTTAGGTTTGGGTTATTCCTTTCGAAAGTGAGGTCCTCCACAGGGGAGTGGAACCTACTGCGTTCACGCATGCACTTTGCAAGACAAAGCGAAATTCACTCTCAGCGAGGGTCAAGGTGAAATGTACATGCTTGGATTCCGCCCCTGCAGAGGAGGAAATGTACATAGTGTCTAAAAATTGCATATAATTCATGGAAATTCTTTTGTTAGTAACTTTTTAATACAAGCAATAACTAAAATCTTTTGAACATTACTCAGGATACTAGTCTTACAACATATGTCAACACGATACGATCTTGATGTTTTATTCTAAAGTTTTATCTTATATATGATAATTTTGTCAAATAAATTCCATGCAACCGTAGTCCTGAACATTGCATGTGTAACATGTTTTAATAAGAGTACCGAAAAATATTATAAAACGAGAATAAATTAACGGGAATGAATATTTCCAAACAAACATCAAGAATACCAAAAAAATATCACGTTATTATTATTATACGAAATATTACTTCAATAATGGGAACATGAGATAGTTTCGTTAAGTAAACTCTGTACGATATAAGAATTATTTATGAAATAATTATTTTTGACACTATTTTATAATTTGAATATATTTTTGTATGTGTTACAGTTCAATGCGTTGCATGGAGATTTCTGCCATCATATCGGTGAGTGAAACTCATTTAATCTCATTTATTTTACTGTGTCTCTGATTACCAATTAATAATATAATAAATATTTAATACTTATCACACATTGCATTAAAAATCTATTTCAAATATAATTCTAAAGAAGTAATATTTTAGCAATCTATTTAAAAATAATTTTATTAAAAAATATTATTCACAATACAAAAAATTGTAATAGTTAATTAAAACTGCATTAGCAAATGTTTTAGCATTTATATTAAAATATATATACATATAACCACAATATTTGACAAAAATATTACATTTCGTTATTTAGATTCGTTATTTAGATTTCGTTATTTAACTAATCACTCGAAGTCTTTTCGAATCTTATAGAAGTTTCTTAAGTTTTCAAAATATATCTTTTATAAATTTTAATCTGCAGACAGATCATAAAAAGGAAATTTTTTAAAATAAAATAAATTAAAAATATAGAAGGATTATGAGAAAGAGAGATGTAAGCTCTATTATATATAAAATAATCTTTTTGCAAAAATAACGTCAGCATTATCTAAACGAAAAATTATTGCTCTTTAGAGCATTGGTGAAGCTTTTAATCGAAACTGATGATATTTTCCTAACATTATTCAAGTTAACAAAAATTTAGTACCTCACACATATTTTATGGGGTTCCGAAAACACGCGGGTCGCACCTGAATGGTATGCCACGGTAACGGTGAAAGGCAAATAACACGAGTGCCTCCGAAGTCACATAGTTTCCGTCTAATAACAGTGGCAGCCATTGACTCGTTATTATAATTCTTTTAACGCGCGGATCTTATCCGCTTCTCGTCTATTACCATTTATTAGTCTGCCGCGTAATAGTTGTCGGCACGCAAAGAAGGCAGCCTTTCCTTCTCTCACTTTACGTAATGAGACCGATCTACGGACAGTCTGACAGGCTGATCACCGTTATTGTGCGATCTATTAATATAATACAAATCTATTGCGTTAAAATCGGATCTGTTTTATTCCTATTCACGAAATTAATCTCGCTAAACACCGCGAAAATTTTGCCGTCGTAGAATAGCATCGTGAATCCTCGCAATCCTCCAATAATCGTTTCCTGTCTTCTCTCTCCTGTTTAACGGACTCGCCTATTTTCATCGCGTTTTGTATTTATTGCCAGTTATGACATCTGTTCGATGCGGTACGGCATCTTGCCGATATCTCGAAATGCTGTTCGTTGTAAATAAGTTCCGCTGCACAAGCAGTTATCGTTCAGCGAGCAGTTAAAAAATTTCAAAATAATCGTGTAAATGTATTTAAGTTAATTATCTGGCAAATGCTTGATATGTCCTGATGCGTTCTTGAAGCTTGATTGTGACAGTTTTCAATTTTCTGCGCATATCGATTCTACGTAACACTAAGTCCCATCTGCTGCCAAGATTTGATATCGGCCAAATGGATGCATTGTTCTAACTGCGGCTACAATATAAGAGGATTGCATTGGATATTTGATTTATCTGGGATTAAATTTCGAAATTTGTCACGTGAGTCTTTTCAATTTTAGTATTAAACGAAACTAGATTTTCTGTCGACAAAAAATATTGTGATTGCACGAATTGTCAATTATATAGCTTTATTTTAAATTTTACATTTTCTTAAATATTGAACATTAATATTATATATCACAGACGGTGTATTTTTGAATGCGACGCAAAAAGGGTACATGCCATGTTATATTCGAAATAGCAAAGTTTACTGAAATATTAAATATTGGAAAATTTATGTCAGGTTACCAAACAATATTATTAAATAGACGATGTGAAATCAGAGGAAGGTCTAATTTTAAGAGATACATAAAAATTTTATAATTCTTTTTCTGAAAAAACGTGATTCACTTAACTTACAAATATTTAAATGATTTAAAACATACTTGTCAAATATGTACATGTTCTATATCTATCAAATCGGATTGTGAAGACTGTGAATCAGACGCTTCGTGACACTTTGATATTCACATTATCTTGAAAAGGAAAATGGGAAAGGGCAGACTTAGGATCAGTCAAACTCAAATCGAGTCGCAAGACGTTATTAATAGGCTTAATCGTACAGCGTGGGAACTGAACGAATCACTGCTGGAACTAATTGTCACGGGTGTGCTCGGTCAGGGTCGGTGAGCGACGGGATTTCGTCGCGGCCGGAAGTCTCCGCAAGCTTTTCGACGATGTCGAGGAAACCGCGCGCGCTATGACGAATAATATTATCGTGCATCGGCACGTCCGTTTCACGATATCTGACTCTCGTTAATCAGAAAGAAGTAGTTAGCGTACCCGAGATAGAGATCGCGTAGTGCAACTTGACGCTTGTTTGGACAAGAGACTGATTTTATCAATTTTGCAATTGCATAGCCAGCGACTTTGTGGGAGAAAAAGTCAAAAATAACATATCACCTTGCAGTGTCTTTACGTCTATGTTTTTAAAGTCATTTTATTAAAATAAAATATGCAACACGTGAAAATTTAATCAAGTCTGTAACTGCAATATAAATATTATTATATAAATTAATAAACTGTCCGCGATCAAGTATATTGATACTTGATTATGCACGAATCTTATCGATAATCGATTGTGGAATCTTGGTTGTAGAAAATTAATATGATATAATATCGATTAATATTATGATTATAAGTGTTGCAGACTATTATTAGGTAAAATATAGCAATATGCAAGTTTGATTTAAAAAACAAATGATTATTTTATGACATTAACAATAAATCCTTTACGATACGAGTAAAAAAGTAAGATTTATAGATTTGATTATAGACATGATAATTATATGCGCGAAATCACAGAAGAGTCTATAAAACTTTATTTTACCCGTACTTTAACATCATTTATATCGCAGAACGCTCAGAACGAGTTTCTTTTTTTTATGGTCGCTGCCATTCGTTGCGACGAATAATTTACCCATGAAGAGCATTCTCGAATTAACTCATGTTCCCACTTGCTTGCGACGAGCTCGCGCGAAACTATTTTCGCTCGGGTACACGCGCAGGAAGTAGCAACGATTTTCACAAGATGACGTAATTCGGCGCAATGAGTCCGACAATGAGCGTCGAAGAAACGGAGCTGATGCGAAGATTATACATACGAAGAAAAAGACGACGGCGCGAGCGGGGGAGGAAGTGACGCGCGCGGAATCACGCGGACTTACCGGAAATAATCTCATCGGAAAATAACGCGTTATTCACGCTGGCGTGTGCAAGCAACGGCGGATGCACCGTGCACTGGAGTGCGAGTGCGAGTGCGTGTGCGTGTGCATCGCGTGACGTGTTCTTTTCTTCTTTCTTCGCAGTAACGACAGTTCTCCTTTTTTTACGCGTTCAACGTTTTAATGCGCTATTGCTCTTATGTAGTTAATAACGACGTAAATAATCGCCGGTAGCGTGACGGTAATAAATGACAGCTTATTTAGCCGTTATAAACTATGTTTTAATTAAATCATTTAAATTTTTCCCAGATGAGATAAAAGTGCTCCGTTCCATATTTTAAAGCCACAGTCAGGCGTACGTATAAATTCAATTATTAATTTTTAACATTCTGCCGAACTGTAAACTAAAATGTTAATTATAAATGTCCGAAAATAATATAAATGTAAATATTACTTTTATTTACACGCGCGTTATTACATTATAAATAAACGAGTAAAAAGTTTGTTCAATTCGTGCCGAATCAATCAAAATTCACAAAAGGTGAATAATATTATGAAACATCAATACAATTACACTAACGAAAAAAAAAAAGAAAAAGATTGAAAAATACGAATATACTTATATCAACCATCATCATCGACATCAATTTATCGTCATGATTGTCATTAAACGCTAACGACGAGTCATCGACGTTGGTTACTCAGCCCGCAATCGTGTGACTCTGACCAGTCCTTTTTTTTCTTCTTTTCGTGGATGGAATTTGAATGAAGAACTCGATTAACCGGCGTCCAAACTATTCCGGGAAGAAATTCCTGCGCACGAACGGAAGTCGGAATATCTTCGTTTGCCCGCGGCATCATCACGTTCGCCAGGTACACGAGGCTACACGCGTGCATTTACCGAGAAGCAAAGAATCGCGTTTGTAAAGAATGACAATTAAGACGATACTACCTTTCTCTGACAGGTGCGATTCGATTATCGAGTCTAATGAGTCAAGTCCTTGAGAAGCGAGAAACATCTTGTTCAAAAGTTTCGCAGCAAGAGCATATTCGCATTTTACTCAAGAGATCTTTAAACTTTGCTATAAAATTATGTAAACTAATGTAAATTATGATATCAAATCATATTATTATTGGCAATAGTTTTACGAGTGGCAATAATCATCAGACATTTTACGCTCGCACGTTAATAAATGATACGTTGAAATCATTGAACGTGTAATAAGCTTGGCAAAGTAAAACCGCGTAATTTTTTCATCGCACGCACGTTCCTCTTATTTCCGTCTCTTGGAATAAGCGCGAGCGAACGTCTCCCGAGGCCCTTTCCTCGTTTTCCCGTACTTGACGCAAAGTTCGACGCTATCTCGCCGCGACGCCCTTCTCCGGTCGTCGCCGCCGTCTCCGCCACCCCCGCTACGTTCCCTGGAAAGAGGAGAACTCTGGAAATCCTGGCGAGGAACGTCGGTTCCGGTGGGAGGCTGACGGCGGGGGTAGAAACTCCCGGGGGTGGAGGAGGAAGGGCGGCCTCCCCGGCTGGGAGGCATTTCATTTCCTTGGCGACTTCCGGCAAACGCGACGCTTCCGCCATATCGGGGCCGACGCCGACGCCACCGTCGACGTCGAGTCTGTTCGTGTTCCTGCGCTCCCTGGTTCCGGTTCCGGTACCCTCCCCCTCCGGTCCCGCCGTCGTCCTGGCTCGAGCTTCCACCCACGCCCCCGGGCGAACCGAGTCCTTCCGCTCCCTCTCTCCGACATTCTCCTTTCGCTTCCGTTCGTGCCACCCTTTCCGCCTCCCCCTCGCCACCCGGCACTACCCTCTTCC